ACTCTTTCAAAAACAACATCAGAACTTTAGCAGAGATTCCAGGCTTCCTTTTAAATTTCATACCAAATTTTATAAAATTGGCAATATTAACAGATAGAAAAGTTAGTCTTCTCTCTACAACTTTATTATAACCTATGCAAGTAATGTCTAGGTCCACCAAACCTGACATGCAGTTTCAGAGGTGACTGTGCTCTGATAAGCCATGGCTCCAGCCTCTTGCCTGAAATAATTCTGAGCAAAGAGCTCAACATGATGGACAAAAGAGCAGCAGGCATGCTCTTCTTATTAATACATTCCTCTTTAAATAGCCTCCATCTTTGCTGTTCCTTACTTGTCAATATCTGATTAATCTCATTGAGTATTGATCTCATAACCAAAGCTAGATGTTGCAGGTGGGTAAGTGAATCAGATTCACAACAACAAAGCAAACTCATCAGTGCCTTAAACTTTCAAAGTATGAGAGGGGAAAAAAACAGTTCTCAAGGTATGGCTACTGGAAAAAGATGTCTTTCTCTGGGAACAAGAGAAAAAAACCCCATGTCTCAAGGAGCAAACACACACAAAAATATAAAACTTTATAAAATTAAATACAAATTTTTGCTTTTAGTGCCATAAGGTTGTAGGTGCGAAAGGAATCAAGAACATGCAATATTTATTTTCATGGCAAATATACATGCTCACCTGCCCTACTCAACTTCTACAGAAGTGAAGTCTGCAATCAAAGGTGACTAAACAGTGACCTCATTTTGCAAGCTGCATTTCTCCACAGCTGAAGGAATCAAGGAGTCCGGCTGTCCATAATCAACACCCAGATATGCTAACCAACAGCTTGCTTTTTATTTTCAGATGTTCAATTATTTAGAAAGGAAAAACTTAGTAGCATATCAGAAAATGGACTTAAAGAACTTTTTAAATTAACACTGCACTATAAAGTTTGCTTGGATGCCAACTGGCATTGGCCCAGTGCGTATGAACTGAGAGGCAACACCCTTCCTCTTGGGATATTAGTCCCATATATTAGAAAAAAAATGAATAGTTGTTCCTTGGTTACCAAGGACCTGAGGCAGTCAGCCTCCATTGTTATATTTTAGCAGCACACTATGCTTGGGCCTTCAGCAAAGAGAATAGTTGCTTGAAATTTTGCTGCATCGAGCTAGTTTATAAAGTGACAGTATTATCAGGACACTTGTGTGCTGGTACTGAGCACTCCCCTAGTGTAAGCTGTACAGACAAATCCCACAGTTTGTAGGTCAGACACAGAACCTAGATTTTACTACAGCCATTTACTTTTCCCCAGTAAAAACTTAGCATGTGAACAGCTTTTTCTCCAGCAGGAAATAAACTATTAATTTCAAATAAATTTTAATATTACTCACAGAATCACAGAATGGTAGGGGTTGGAAGGGACCTCAGGAGATCAGACTCCTTTCCTGTACCTTGCTGCCTTTCTTATATGAAGGTCGGTCTTCATGGGGAAAACCACATTAAATTAATAGCCACAGTCAGGCTGGTGTAGCCAGTGTGGGTACTCTTATTCCCACACAAAAGGACCTTTACTTGATTTAGCTTATGTTACTCCAAAAAGGACTCAGTCTAAACTAATGAAAACCTTAGGCCAGACACATGCCAAGAATAGTTTGCCATTTTAATTGCCTTGGCAAAACACACCATCAAAGCATTTGTAGAACATATGTAACTCAGAGCAAAAAAACTGGTATTGGCTACACCTCATCACATCCTCCCCCCTCCTCTTCCAAGAGAGGAATGAGCATTACTGTCCATCCAATAGCTTCTGCCCTAGGAGTTTTTACCAAGAGCTGCACAGGGACAGGTCAGACCTCATAATATCCCATAATATCTCATAATAGCAAAAAAGCTAGGTCAGAAAGATGGCAGTGCAATTATACAATGTCCTTGTATGCTGGCTTGCTACACCTGTATGATCAAGCTGGTATTCCTGATAAAACTCAGCCTGAGAAATCTGTAATATACTGAACCACTTTGTGCATCTTGTGAAGACAGTTGACGTGCTTCCTTCCCCTTTGCAGCAGAATGCCACTCCAGTGAGAACACTGATGACACCTGAAGCTGTGTGTTCTACCAGAACTATGAATCCATGATGTGAACTTTTTATAGAAAGAGATGGAAAAAAACCTTATTTTGAAGATGGATCATTTAAAATTTCCCTGCATGGCTTGCCGGTTCTTGAAAGCTTTTTTTTTAACCAAGAATGTTTGTTCTTATTCTCTATAAGCCTGATTCCTTGACTGCCAACAGCTGGAACTGGTGGAGGGAAGTCAGAAGTGTAAAATGGTTCATGTTGAGCAAATTAGAGAAATGCAGTGTGGGGTTTTTGGTTTGGGGTTGGTTTTTTTTTGGGGGGGGGAGGGGGGCGGTGTTTTGTTGGGTTTTTTTTAACGACTAAGGATTGTAAAACACCAAACTGCTGCAAAAAATTTTAATGAAAAGTGGCAACATAATAACATACTCTGGTAAATTAGGACAGGGTAGTAACGATTATACAAAATTCCATTTGTGACAGAGACAGCAGGAGGGAGAATTCTCCCTTGTCCAATATTTCAAAAGCACTAGTTTTGTACACGCTCACTGATACCGTGAGCTCCCTAACAGGGATTCTTTGATCTGCTCCACTAAATAGTTTTTGTGGACCTATTCTGAACTTGGTAAGAAGGGAAAATACCATTGCATGCAATAAAAAAAAAAGTACTGAACTGTACACTGTACACTCATCTTTCAAATACGGAAACATTTGTGACAGTTTGGTCTTCAAGTAGTATTCTAAAAAGCTTTTCTATTGTTTACCTAAAGTACCTATTTCTTATTCTCATAATACATGGAATCAAACCAAACCCAGACCCATTGAAGATATTTTATATAAGCCTATAGCAAACCAAATACATTCCACTTAGTGGCTCAAACTGTATCCATACCTGTACTAGTGGGTTTGGATGCTCTTCCCTTAGGGACTGGCAGTAACAATAATTCCAAAGACTGTGGTGGAGTTGCTTTCTCTTGCTTCATCTCTGAAAGCTGCAGGGGATCCTCAGCAACCAGTGATTTCTTCTTCTCAGCCAACAGGGTGCCTGCAGCCCTTGCAGCAACCTCCTTGAGAAGGGCAGCTGAAGAGGTCATGGAAGCCAGAGAAAGGAAAGAACTAGCCGGAGGCGGGTGCTCCTGCCCAGGAGTCATGCTTCTTTCACTCACTTTCTTAGATAAAGCTGCTAACGTGGAGCTGGCTGACTGAGAACTGAAAGGTGAGGAAAAAGATTCAAATCTAATAGTGTCTTCAGTCCTTGAAAGAGATTTGTCCTGCAGAACGGCATTGGCTGCAGCTTTCAGTTTCAGGATAGCTGAATCAGGGGACAAACCACACGTGGTGGTTGCATTTGGCAACCACTTACCTTGATTCCATATAAAGGGACTACCTGCATTGTATTGGTCACTTCGTTCCTGTTTCTCAGCAAGCTTTCTGGCAAGAACACTTAGCTGCTGGGCATGATGAGCAGGTGGAGAGAAGGAGAGATTTGAGCCAAGATTTACAGGGGAATCGACTCTGCCATTGACTGTAACAGCAGCATCCAGTTTGAGGGAGCCAGCCTCCAGTAGCCGCCTCAGGTTACTACTCAGTGGCTTATTTGGACCAGGAGGTTCCTCTTCACACAGAGATGAAACATCAGGAGAAAGGTGCTCGTTGCTCTGTAATGTGTCTCTTAGTGCCTCATTTTCAGTGGTTCCCAGCTCCACTGTGTTGCTGCTAGGAGTAGCACTTCCCAAAGAAGTATCTGGGGAAGTGGACCGCTCTTGGATTCTGTCCTCAAGAGACAACTTAAAGTTCTCCTGGACTTCTCCATATGATGCTTCTGAAGGAGATTCTGAAGAATTTCCAAACCAGCGTTCTTCTTCACTGAGTTCACCTTCCACTTCTTCCTGTCTGGTACCATCTGTGTGGAACCAAGAACAGTATTATTCCCAAATCTGCGTAAAATAAATTCTAAGTATGAAGTATGCCTGGCCTCTGCATGACCCTCCTGATTAGCCACCTAACATCCCCCTAAAGTGCATGGACTTGTCACCAGCATGGATTGAGTGACCAGGAAAAAGTTTTTTGAAAATTAGAAAGTCTTTCTTTGAAAACAAAATCATGACAAGCCTGTCTTCTTTCAGTCAGCATAACTAAACCAGCTAAAACTGCATCAATACAAATATACATAATACATATTCATGTTTTGCAAATCTTTCATTACTGGTATATTCTCTACACCCTGCAAAATATTATGAACTCAATGGTATAAAGCAGGGATTTAACAGGCACAGAAATTACTGGATACTTGTGTCTTTATACAGCTAGCACAGGCATGTCTTCAAAGCATATCAGGTGGGTAGTACTCAAAGTAGACTTTCAATTTCAGGCCAATCCTGCAGTGACCCCTATCTAAACCCCCCCCCCCAACATTTGTACCAGTAATACACGATTCATTCCTGAATAGCTGAAATGACTAATACATGAACGCAGGCTAAAGCTCTCATCTCTCCAGCTATTTGGGACAGAAACATCATACACACAAAACTAATCTTTGTGTTTTTTTCTTCTTATATAAACACTACTTGCTGATCATTTGCTTGTTACACTTCATTAATATTAAAGTTTTAAAGACCATCCTAAACTGAATTTAGTTTAGCTGGGGGTAAAAAAACAAAAACAAAAACAAAAAACAAAAACAAAAAACAAAAAAACAAACAAAAAAAACAAAAACAAAAACAAAAAAAAAAAACAAAACAAAAAAAAAAAACCAAGAGAGAGAGGGGAAAAAAATTTGTTGGTCTCAATGCAGTTAGTTACATTTTCTCCTTTCCGGTAACTGCAACACATCTAATCTCTCCTGAGACCTAACTGACAGTGTTTAAAGCAGTGTGACCCTGGATTGCTCTTCTTCCTGACAGGTACAGACAAGACCAAGACTTTTTTTGCAGATCTTGCTGGCCAATCAGAACCCAGTTAAGAACAACAGCAATGCTAGAATTAAATTCATATTATCTTCTTTCACCAGATAACTCTCACATTTCTTGCTTTTAGACTCAATGTCCCAAGCTACAAAAGAATCTTTGTAATCAGACTACAGCAAAACAAAAGGATTTAATATAACCCTCCACTGACATTCTGGAAATAAGCCTGCATTATATATACTGTATCTATGATCACATATTATTCCCAGGTTCCCTATTTAATTCCAGCAAATTACAAAACTTGGAGAGAAGTTGATGAATAAAAACCTAGATTTATATTATTGCTTTGATCCAATGAATTTAAGGAGGAAAAACCCAGCCAAATGTATCATGAGTGTAGAGATATCAATACACACTCTGAAAGGAAATTTTTTTTTTTTTTACCTTGTACAGAACATGAGGAATAGTCTCTCACAGTAAGTTCCTCTACTTAAAATCCTTTGAAAAAAATACACCAATGTTTTAAGAGCCCACAACAAAACCACTCAGGTACCTTAGATTAGTAATTCAAGCAGAAGAGGGCTAGCATCTTTCCTATTCAAAACAAATAAAAGCCAAGCAAAACCAAAAGCACTTACCTAAAATTATTTTGATACTATCCAAGTTAACACCACAGACACAGCAAGATTAACAATAACATGCACATAAAGCTCAATACCATGCACATTCAAATAAAGAAGATAGATTCTAATCAGTTGAGCCAGCACTTATGCAGGTTAAAGGAGAACTGAATGTATTCCCTTCTCACCCTGTGAACATCAAAAAATAACTTGAGGCTTGTCTGTACAGTTGGGCGCACTCAGATGAGAGATCTGTCCACACATCCCAGGTGCAAGCAAGTTCTGGATTGGAAGCCAAAAAAGCATCTTACTGGCTCTTTGCCTGAGCCAATATACCCAGAGTAGGGCACAGCCTCTGAGACACAGCCTAGAGTTGACACCACGACACAGCTTCTGCACCAGACCTAGCCTGCATCCTGCTACTTAGATCCATACTTCTGCTTACATCTGTCTGTGTTAAAACAACCCCTCCTCTCCCCTGCAGACCCTACTCTCTCTCGGTGCCTCTGTTCCCCATCCATAAATAGGGCAGGATAATTGAATTTCCTTTCACTTAAAGTCATCCATAAACTACAGTTTGAGAGACATTTAAGTGTAAATGGTTACAAGAAGTGGGGTTCTGTTCTAGAGAAATCCCCATCTTACTAAATCCCCAAACCTCTCTGTTCCTTGCCATGTATCTCAATTTCTTAATGTTGATATGTTTTCTAGTCACAATCAGCCTTTAAAATACCAGTTGAATAATAGTGGTTTACAGATCTCCCCATTTTGTTCATCCTGCTTGCACTGGAAATGCAATTCCTTCTCACCTGCAACAGCTTTTGCTCTGACCATAAAAGTAACACCCCACATGTATTTTCACTATCTATCCTTCCTCTCTAAAGCTGAAATCTTAGGGAACACTCACAGTAGCTGAAGAACAGGACACTGGTGTATGAAGTTGGTGGTAAGGTTGGGGAGAAAGGAACTACATCTGCTATGGCATGGCTGCAATACATCTTTCTTAGACTGTAACACAACTACACTGTGCCTGGAACCGAAAAAATAAGGTAGTAACAGCAGGAAAGACAGGACATGGATTGCCTTGCTTTTTCCAGACATGCACATTCTCCATTGGCCTTGCCTAGATGAAGACTAGCCACCAACATTTTATTGACAGGGAGCAGCAGGAACGCAGTATTCTTCATTTAAAAGCTTGCTACCAGGTCCAGAATTTCCCTCCTCTTTGGGTAACGCAGTGAGAGCTCCCCCTCCTGTTGCTAATCTACCTGTAACCACCCAAGCACACTCAGATCTCCAAGCAGCCTCCGTAACAAAGGGCAAATCTCCTTTGCAGCATCTCTATTCCAAAAGCCAGATGTTGGCTTGGTTTTTTTTAATACCAGTACAGGTTCTTTCTGTATCCAGAAACCAGACCTCTAACTGCTGACACAGTTCTGATTTTCCTCTTCTCAGTAATTACCTCAGTTGCTGCAGTATCAAGTCCACTGCATTTTAAGGCTGTAAGGTTAATGCTGAGAAAGCCAGCATCAGTGTCTTATCATGAGCTCAGTCAAGCCTCCTCTTAAACAGTAGTGAATTGGTTTAGAAGCATAATGGTGAAGCCAGGCAATTTAATTTCTAAGCAAAGTTGCCATTCAAGGCCTTCAGGGCAGGATTTTAATTCACATTGACCTGTGAGCCTCTGAGTTTGAACAAACTTGGGAACTCCAGGAGAAATCAGCCCAATCCACCAACTTTCTTATGATTACAAATTAAATAAAATTTTCCCTTAGAGGGTTCATGGGACACCCAGACCAGGTTTGTCTGAAACAGGAGCCAACCTCCAGATGCCTATCAAGAAACTTCAGCTGTATTTCACATCTGTGGCAGAAGATCCGCATGACATGTTTTTCCCTTCTCTTGCAACACAGCTAAGGAGTTCCAGTGAAAAGTTCTTGAGAGACAGGAATAAAAACTTAATACCACATTTGAATTTTTTCTCTCCACCGCAAACATAGTATAGTTTGTTATTACAGAATTACTTTTCAATGTTAGGCATTTCATTTCTATTGCAGCCTGAGATGCTAAACATGGTTAAGAAACAACATGGAAGTTGCCAAGCAGGAAAAGGTAACTTCAGAGTTAGGGGCAAATTCTCACCGACTTCATCTGGAACAAGACCTGACTGATCTGACTTGGTAAAAACCGAGTCACCGCTCATCACACTGCCTCTTAACATGATTCATGAGTCAAGACCTGTCAATGCTTCTCTTTCCTGATTTCCAGAACTGCTTCCCAAACTATTTGCCACTGGCAGAGGCTAGTGGAAGTTACAGGTGTCCAGCATGCTTCAGGACTACCCCACCACACATCACCCAGGAGCTTCACACAAGTACTTCTCACTCCTGTCAGCAATGACAAAAGGCACCAAAGCACTGTTGGGTAACTGCTGCCACTGATGTAGCCCAATATCAAACAATCTCTGGCAAAGCCACATGTGTGCAGAAGCACTGTTTGAAGAAATGCCAGTTTCCCTCACTCGTCCACTCATCTGCTTGTTTTCAAATTCAGAGAAGTTCTGTTTCTTCTTCAAGAGATCAGTTTGACAGACAAATCTTATTGATCCCAATTTCACTTTGTGAGTATTTGCCTTTTTATTTAGAGTGGTGATTAGAATTTGACCCTGATATCAATGGAAATGTAAATAGTAACTTGGAAAAATCACTTATATCCGAAAACTGAAAAAGACACGTTTGTTGATATATATATTGAACCACATAATTCAAATGCTGGAAACTTGAACTGTATCCAGTGTAACGTACACGTCATTCCTGAAAGTGGCAAGTGTGAGATGATCCACAGTTCCACTTTGTAGGACTTGGAGTGGAAAAATACGAATGTAGCAGGCTAGGTCTAGAAACAGTCTGTTGAGCACATGGAAAAAGGAAGGGTGTCCACGTTGTGGCACTGACTGACAGATATGGGCAGTGAAAACATGATTGGAAGAACACCATTTGGACCATCAGAGATTATCTGAAAAGAGGTTAGAGCTAAGGAGCACACCCCAAAGAGGTGGAATTTTCAAGCTAAGAGGGACAAAAATTCACTTTAATCATTCAGAGCAATGAGTAAATTAAAGAACTTCAATACAGAATTAACATTGCAAATCCATACGCTACCGTGATGAAACACACGGAAGTTGTAATTATGGGATTACATAATGAAAATTTAAATATAAAAGTGGGTAGAAGACAAATAATTTCAAGGAAATGTGCATAGGAAAATTGCTAATGAGATAAATTAGATAAGATTGCCTTAACTTCAGTAGCCACATTTCAAGAAAAATCTGGGAATCTACAGGACGAAGATTTAAAGTGACAGGAGAGCCAAACCTCATTTTTTTATTATTATATCAAATATCTCCATCTATATAAGGATTTCAGTTAAAATCATTCAATCTAAATAAGGTTACCATTGCATTTGTTGGCTAGCTGGCACCCAGGTCATCTTCCTAATTTGTTGCCGCAACAGTTTATCTTATTCCATCTCTAACACCTATCATAAACCATTCTCTGTATTATCTTATACTAACCAGTA